GCTCAGCAATCTAGGCACTTGACACCTAAAGCCAAGAGAGAAGGAAGCCTGGCTATTTCTCCATCTGGTGACAGACTTCGGCATCATCCACATGGGGCTGGTTTTAGGCACATGCAGAATGCAAGAGTTGTGGGGTCAGGAAAGCTTCCACTCAGATTTCAGAAGAAGGCCTTGGAGGCCAGGCAGCGTCTCCTTGAGGGGGCAGTGTGTGAAGCGGCACGGGTGAAGCTGAAGGTGCAGTGGAGACCCCAGAAAGTTGGGGAAGTCAGGAACATGGATCATCTGAGGAAAGCTGCAAGGAGTAGGCAAAGCCAGCCCAAGAGAGAAGCTGTGAGAGCTCCAACTACCAGTGGTGCTATAGGGACAGAGCCACCCAAGCCCTTTGGAGTTCACATCTTGCCACAGATTATATCAGATGCTAGACATGGAAATATGGGACTTAATGTTTGCCTTGCTGGATTTTGGACTTGCTTGAGTCCCATTCTTTTTCTATCCTCCTATTTGTACCTTTCAGAATAGAAATGTTTATCTTATGCCACTGTATGTTAGGAGGGTTTAACTTTCTTTACCTTTATATAGGGGCTCACAGCTAAGAATGTGCCTTAAATCTCAGAGGAGACTTTGGACTTGGACTTTTCAGCAATGCTGAAACTGTTAGGCCTTTAGCAAGTCTTAGAGATGGACTAAATGGCTTTTTGCATAAAGGGATGTGCATGAGTCTATTGGGGGCCAAAGGCAGAATGTTATGGCTTGTATCTAGATGTCTCCCCAAAGCCTCATGGATTCATAGGTGGGGCTTTTCAAAGCTGGCTCTATCTAGGGCATGTGACAGTAGGATTAAAGATGTGTGGTACTAAATCAGTCTAGTGATTGGAATTAGCATAGTTCTGGGTGTAGATAAGGGAAGCTCCACTCTGGGGGTGGGTAGCACCAAGATTATAGCCCAGATGGAATTAAAGGGAGGAAAAGCAGGCTGCTGCTTTCCTGCCTTTTGCCTGCCACTGCATGAACTGTTTCTCCTCTGTGATGCCCCTCTGCCATGCCACACTGCCTTGGAACCAGCTGACTATGGACTGAAATCTCAACAAACTATAAGCCAAAATAAACCTTTCTTCCTTTAACTTGTGGATATCAGTATTTTGTCTTAGCAACAAAAACTAAGACATGCCAGCTGACATCAGGAGACTCACACTCCTTACCACAGGGTTGTACAGGGGTTGGGTACCCTGAGGGTCCTGCAATAACCCCAGCAACGTGGCATTTAAAGGCTAGACACCTCAATGAGGCCTGAACTGCTTTTAAGGATTCTGGGGAGGGCCCCCATAAACATAGGGCCAGGCCCTATGTTTGGTAAACAGGCTCCAGTATACCAAAACCCACCTAGGGAAGGCCAGCCTGCTTAGGCAGTGCCAGCTCCAGGGGATACCCAAGAAGGGGACCTTGGCAGTAGTGGGATAACCAGGACTCTGAAAACAAAGACTGATGGTGAGGGTCTTACCCCCCCACCCTTTGTTTGCACTAAGAGGATTGAACCCAGGGCCTTTGCATTGAGTTATATCCCCAGCCCTTTTATTTTGAGACAGGGTGTCAGTAAGTCACTAAACTGCCTAGTCATCTTGAACTTGCAATCATCCTACCTCAGCCTCCCAGAGTGCTGGGATTACAGGCATGCATGACCATGCCTGGCTCCCACTTGGGTTTTTTTTTTTGCTTTCTGAGACAAGGTCTTGCTTTTTCAGGGTGGCCTTGAACTCACTATGTAGCACAGGCTGGCCTTGATCTCACACTTTTCTTCCTGCTTCAGCCTCCCAGGTACTGGGATTATATGCACGTGCCACTACATCTGGCTTCTATTTGGTCTTTTTAACAGCTGTAAGTGCTGACTAGGTACTGAGGTACAGAGACAAAACCTGAAGTGAGAACATTGTAACATATCAAATTTCTAGTGACAGAAGATGCTAGGCATGAAATGGTTCAAATGCATCAAGAAAAACAGTTAAACCCTCACCTCATGTTTATGTCAAAATAAATTTGAAGTGGATTAAATCTTGAGTGTAAAAAAAAAAAAACCTTGAGTGTAAAAAAACTAAAGAAACAACATCTAGTAGAAGAGAAGACAGACACATTTATCTGGCTCCACGCTGCAGAGGACTACACACAAAATGATGGAATAACTAGAAAAGGGAAAAATGGTCAACATTTCTCCATAAAGTATGAAAAATTTGTGAACATCAAAAACTGTCATTAGGGCCAGAGATTTAGCTCAGTGGTTCCACTGCCTGCCTCGCAACCACAAGGACCCAAGTTCCATCCCGGGTACCAAAAAAAAACCCCCAAAAAACCCACCAAAAACCACAACAAAATATGGGCCAGGGATTTAGTTCAGTGGTTTTGCCGCCTGCTGCACAAGCACAAGGACCCGAGTTTGATCCCCGGTACCAAAAAACCCCCAAAAACTGTCATAACAAAAATTAAAAAGCTGAGAAAAATGTGCAGCAGGCAGAGAGATAAGCAAAGAATTAATATCTTTCATACATAAAGACCCACACCAAGGGCTGAGAAACCCACCAAGACCTCCCCAGCATGGAGAGAGGCCAGGTGGGTGGGTGCTGACTTCTGAAAGGGTACAGCGGGGCTGACCCTGTTGTATGAAAGGCACCTGTGTCAACACCAACCCTTGTCACTCAAGCCTCAAATCACCATGCATCACTCTCTCACACGGCCTTCCAGTTCCCTTTTGCCAGGAGTCACGCTTTTTCACCATCATCTTGTAATGCCACAGTTAGGAGCTGGTTTTCTTGTTTGTCGTCCATCTCCTCAGCCAGACTGAGACTCCTCAAGTGCAGGGCTGGGTTCCATGTGACTGTAATGCCCAGTGTCTAGCCTGGGGCATGGTGAGCAAGTGTTGAGTGACAAGACGTTGAATGCAGGGGTCACACAGGTGCTGCACTGGCCCCTATCTTAACTTTGTTTCAAGACCCTTCCCCATTTTTCACCTGGTTGTGGGCAAGGCCACACTCCAGGGCACTTGTGTTCTGTTTGCCAGTCTGTGAAATGGAGCCAAGCCCAGAACAAAGTGGGCACAAGTGCCATCAGTTATTCTTCCAACACACAGGGCAGACATAAATAATCAGTCACCTGGCAAACGTGAATAATCAATCACAACATGAAATGGGCATTACAGAGGTAGGTAGAGAAGAGAAAAGGCACAGAGAGGGCCAGAGAGAGGGAAGCAGAAAGACCAAAAGCTGAAAGCATAAGGAGAAAGACAAGAAAGGAGCAAGCAACAGCAGAGAGCAGGTGACAATGGCCAGGTAGACTCAGATGTGCATAGCCCACCACTCTCCTGCTGTTACTAGAGATGTCATTTAATGTGTGGCTAATCTGGTTAACCCGGCCTCCTGGAGGTGTGGTGGCCTACAAGGAGGTAAGGAGGTAGAGGAGAGCCCTTCTTCCTACTGTTGTCCTCAGATGTTGCCACAAGCAATGCCATATCCCAAGACCTGCATAACCTGGCCAGTGAACTCTGGACAAACCTTGAGTCTCTTTGTCCCAGAAGCCCCTGCATGTTTCAGTAGACTGTGCTTGGAGATGCTGGGCCAGACAATGGCCCTCCTACACAGCAGTCAGCATCAGACCAGGCTTTCAGCAGCTGGCTGGGCCCATGGTTCTTGGGAACAGGCAAATAGGAGCCAGACCAGCTAGTTTCAGCCCTCTGTCCTATATCCTATGGTACTGGAAACTCAGGCATAAAGAGGCCTGGGGACTTCTAGGTCTGAGGCCACCACCTTTTCTCCAGTACAGCACCAATGAACCTGGGTTCTAGGTGTCACTGAGAATTCACAGAGCTGGCACTGGCTGAACCTTCCAAGAGACAGCACTCAATGGGGTTACAGGTAGACAGCTGGCAGGGACTGCACATCTGTGCTGGAAGGAAAAGAGTAACCGGGGGCATTCTTTGTAACTCAACAGCAACCATCACAGTTGCTGTGACAAACAGGGTGTTAGGGTGGAGGGTAGGAGTCACAGGGACCACTCAGTCTCCGAACCTGTTACACTTCCCAGGAACCACATCTCAGTGCCACTGGAGCTGGCAGCCATAATTAACCAATAAGCCCAAAACAGACTACAGGGCCAGGGATTTGGCTCAGAGGTTCCAGCGCCTGCCTTGCAACTGCACGGTCCCGAGTTCAATCCCCGGTACCAAAAAAATAATAATAAAATAAATAAATAAATAAATAAAAATAAAAATAAAAATAAAACACAGATTACAGAGACCACAGACCAGCAGAGGCACACAACTGTGATCAAAGTATTATTTGTTGCCATTGTCTGTGGCTGTTTTTGCCCTATAATGGCAGAACAGTGTGGCTATGACAGAGACCGTAAGGTCTGCAAAACTCAATCTGGCCCTTTTACACAAAGCCTGTGGTGCTTGGCCTCAGGGTCATCAGCTATGACTAGCCAGGGACTCTACTTTCTCTGGGGCAGCCAGGAACCACCCTGAACTGAGCACCAGGCTGGCCAATATCAGACACCACCATGGCTGGTATCTAAGCTGAAGTGGATGGGGATAAGATGCAGCTAGTGTTTTTTTTATTTTTTATTTTTTGGTACTGGGGATCGAACTAGGGACCTTGCACTTGCGAAGCAGGTGAAGGAACCACTGAGCTAAATCCCTGGCCCAAACGCAGCTAATTCCCAGCTCAATAATGACAGCAATGTGGTAGGTCAGCCCCAACATGAGCTCATCCTCAAGTCAAACATCAAACTGGTTTCTGTTGTCCACACTCTAGCCATTGAACCAAGCAAAGATGGTGGGAGGCCTCCACATCCAGCCCTGTCCAGCCTGGAGGCTGTACTCAGCTAAAGTAAAGCTGACCAAAAGCACACACCCTCTGAGGGCCAGTTCATTCCTATCAGCCACAGGCCCACCAGGGCACTCTGCTGCTGTTCTGTGTGGGGAGAGAGTATGCCCAGGTCAAGCCCAGGCCACTTACCTTTTTCTAGGGCAGATCAGGTTGTCCTTACACCCATTCTTCGGGCTCCAGCTCCTGTAAAGAAATCAGAGGGCACTGTTTGAGGCCCCTGGCCATACAGGTCCTTTCTGAATCATTCTTTCTGAATCAAGAATGGCCCAGACCATTCTCCAAACAGGATACTTGCTATCATCCTGACCCTGAGGCCATCCATAGTGCTCCTGACTCATAATCACATACTCGTGCTCTTTCTTAGCCCCACATACAACTGGGACTGCAGTTTCTATCAGGTCAGCTTCCCTTATGAGCATTTCCAATGCTGGTAAGAGTTTAGCAGTATGGCTGACAGTTACCTCTTCCCCTTCTACAAGGCAGGGGCCATTTCATTCTGATAAACAGCACACAAAGAGGAACCCCACACCAGGGGCAGTAGGGCCCAGGGTTCCACTGGCCTGTAAAAGTGGTCAGGGCCTTCACCGCCAAACCGTTCCCTCCACCCTGCAGCCTATGCCTACCCTGAGAGATAGTGTCTACCTCTCCTGAGGCTAGCCCAGATCCTGTATCCTCCCTCCCTGCAGGCAGGTTACCGACCCCAGAGCTATGGTCAGGTGTGACCTAGGACCTGGCCTTCAAACTGGGATGTCCACAGCGTATGGGGCAGAGTACGGGATAAGGTGGTACCTATGCCTCATCCTGTCCACAGCTCTACTGCAGGAAGAAGGAATCATGCACTTCTTGCCTGGGTCAACATCCTGGGGGACACATTCCCTCTCATTATATTTAAGCCTAGATCATTCCCAGAGCATTCATAAAAGAATGAAAATCAGGGCGGGGATTTAGCTCAGTGGTTCCACTGCCTGCCTCGAAAGTGCAAGGTCCCGAGTTTGATCCCCGATACCAAAAAAACAGAACAAAATAAAAAACAACCTCAACCACACATTATTTAAAAAAAAAAAAAAAAAAAAAAAGAATGAAAATCAGAATGGCAGACAGGCAGGGAGGGATGGGCCTCAGATGGCCATCCTGGAGCAGATCCCGGTAATGGGAGCTCTTTCCCCTCTGTTCTATGGCATTTTCCAAACTGTTCTAAGCCTCTATCTAACCTTTCCTTTGGGGATGTAACCCCAAAGGTGGGTGTCCCTGTCTCACCCCCTTCATGGGGAGGGACTTCAAATGGTGCTGAGGATCTGGCCAGAAGTCAGGGTGAGATAATGGAGTCGGAGGTCAAAACACCGAGGCCAGAGGCAGGGAAGAACCGGGGGCTCGAGCCAGATGTGTGCCTGTGTGTGTGTGCGTGTGTGTGTGTGTGCGCGCACATGTATGTACACACCTGGGAGGGGCAGCTTGGATGGGGGCCACCCACTGACACCCTTCCCACAATAGAGGCAGTGCTGCTTCTACCTGAGGCCTGAGGCTCAGGAATCAGTGCTTGCTCTGAATATTTCTTGGACGCCTTTAGTTTTAGCTTAAATGTTCACATAGATTTTGTCCCATGTGACTGTTATCCACCCTGATAACTGACAGCTTCTCCCCAGGACTTACCACATGCCATGGGCTTGTGCCACAGCCTTATGCCATGTGCTTTGTATACCGACATCTTACTGACTCCCACCAGGTCCCCTAGGTAGGCATAACACTGTATTTTACAGATGGGGAAACTGGGTCCAGGCCAGGCAGAGGTGGGGCCAGGATCCGAACTCAGGTTTTCCTGTCCCCAGGACCCTCACACTCCCTACCCACTTGGGAATGCTGGCTGAAGAAGAATATGGCTTCTGCCTTGTAGGGCTCCCCAGGAGGTGGTAAGAGTAAGGGAAAACAGAAGTCACTAAGAGCCGGGAGTAATGGCATACATCCGTAATCCCACCACTTGGGAGGTTGAGAAAGAAGGATTGCTACAAGTTCAAGGCCAGCCTGAACTATATAGCAAGATCCTGTCTCAAAAAACAAAGAGGGCTGGGGATTTAGCTCAGTGGTTCCACCACCTGCCTTGCAAGCACAAGGACCTGAGTTTGATCCCTGGAACCAAAAAAATAAAAATAAAAATAATAAAATAAAATAAGAGTGCTCTCATCACAGCAGCTAGTCACCCAGCTTGTTTGGAGCCCTGGGGCAGAAGTTCAGAAGTACTGATAGAGGAAGACAACAGTGATATGAAGACAGATTTAATGATTCATGTTGGGGAACATGGAGTATTCTCTCAATACCCCTTGAAGCTAGTCTGCAGCCTCAGGAGTGCCCACCCGGCCAAGGACCTGGAATCAGGAACTTCATATTCAAGTGAGCTATTACCATAGCTCCTTGTCAGGCTGCTTCCCCCAAACAAGGATGGCCTGGGTTTACCCTTGTCATGGGCCCTCAACTGGGAGTCCCCACTGAACTGTCTAGACCCTATGGAGCCCTGGGTTACCACCAGCCAGTACCTATACTCCATAGACCCATGCCTAGTCTTGGGAAGGTCTGCAATTCTGATGCAGTCAGTGTCAGTGGACCAACCAGAGGGCAGAGAAGTCCCAGATAAGGCTCACGGCTGGCCCAGGCTGCAAGGGCCAGCCACACAGCCATACCAATAGGCTATAGATATGAATACTGACTGCATGGGCCAGGTCCCATGGACACAGACTGAGTCCATAGCATTGGGGCCAGGGATTTAGCTCAGTAGTTCTGCCGCCTGCCTCGCAAGTACAAGGTTCTGAGTTGAATCCCCAGTACCAATAAAAAAAAAAAATTGGTGGCTGAGTCCATGGCATGAATCAGCCCTGGACTAGGCATGCAAGGCAGATAGCTCAGGGCCACATGGGCTAAGGGCACTTCACTGGCTGCCGTGTGGCTTTGCTAGGTTGCAGTCCTACATGGATCTCAAGTCCTGTTTTGTGAGCAGAAGGAGATTCACGAAAGGAGCTGGAATGTGCTCTTCCGGCAGCCAATATAGGCACATGTGCAAAGCACCCCTGGGTGACTGGGCAGGAAAGTTTGTGCCACGCAGTGACAATGGTGTCCACCACAGCAAAACCAATATGCTCCTGGGCCGGGGATTTAGCTTAGTGGTTCCGCCGCCTGTCTCGCAGGCACAAGGTCCTGAGTTCGATCCCTGGTACCAAAAAAAAAGAAAAACCAATGTGCTCCTCTAGATAACTAAGACTCTGGGTACATAGTGAGAACATAACTATTTTTTTTTTTGGTACCGGGGATTGAACTTGGCTCCTTGCACTTGCACAGCAGGCGGTGAAAACACTGAGCTAAATCCCCGGCCCAAACATACCTACTTCTGCTGTGGACACTGAGGCACAGCCCATGCAACATCCCACTGTGGTGTCAAGGCCAGACTTAGGGGGCCTATGCAGGCTCCAGGCAGGCACATCTGAAGAAGGCTTCACTTCTAGGGACATACAGGCACAGAGCCCCATCCATCACTGTCCTCATGGAGCCTGGACTCCGCTACCCCACCATCTAGCCCCCAGGCCTCCCTCTGGGTATAAGAAGCACTGCAGGACACCAAGGGGCTTTGCCTCAGGGATCCCAGGCTTCTTTTCAGCTCCATATCCTTGACAGGCAGCCCAGAGGATGAAGAGATCCAGTCTCCCAATTGGGCACCTAGGGTAGGGTCCCAGCCCATAGGGGCAGGCTGGATGCAGCTGGTCTTGCCAGCCACGGCAGCCCTGGCTGCCCTCTGGTGGCCATATGCAGCTCCACGCTGCTCGGCTAGAGGCTACTGACCCCTTAATGGACAAAGGCAGAGAAGAGCCTGTCCCTGGCTCTATGCAAGAAGGGAGAACTGGGCCGGGGGTTTAGCTCAGCGGTTCTGGCGCCTGCCTTGCAAGTGCAAGTTCCCAAGTTCAATCCCCGGTACAAAATGAGAAATGTAATTGTGTTGTATACCTACAATGTACCAATAGTACAAAAAAAAAAAAAAAAAAAAAAGAAGGGAGAACTGCAACTCCTGTTGGGGACATTTGCCAGCTCTAGCCTCATCATTTCAACCTGAAAAAGGCCAATGCATCTCTCAGCTGGGAAGGCCCACAAAGGATTCCTGTCCTCATGTCCTCCTAATTCTGAGGCTTCTATAGAACAGCTCAGGACCTCATCTTGGTCTTGACATAAGCTTATGTTAAAACAAAACCTGACATCCTCACTCAACAAGAACCACTATTATGAGAGTCCCCAGAATCTGCTGTAGATCAACCAGTGCCCTGCTGTGCTGCCCCCAGGATCTGCACCCTTCATTCCTGGCCTATTCTGCAGAGTGGACCTTGAGCCCCTCTAGCTCTTCCCACTGTTTTGGGGCCATTTAGGGAATGAGACAGATATGAGGCTGGCAAGCTCTGGCATGCTTGGTGTGCTTGGCCCCTGTTGGTTCTGCATAGTTTCTGGCTCCTCCTGGAGTCAGAGGATCCTGTTGTTGCTGCCCCTACTCTAGGCTTGTCCCATAACCCCTTCCCAGCCCATCTCTTGGGGTAAAATGAACTCACCTTGAATCTTTGTGTGGCACAAATGGTAGAGCTACACCCCTACCCTCTTGGAAGCTGAGAAATGCAAAGGACCCCTAGGACTAGGAAGAGACCACCTCCAGAGGGGCTACCTCCAGAGGGGCTTTAAGAATGAACACGGGAGGGCTGGGGATTTAGCTCAGTGGTTTTGCCGCCTGCTAAGCAAGTGCAAGGACCGGAGTTTGATCCCCGGTACCCGCCCCCCCCCAAAAGGTCTTAAAAGAATGAACACGAGGAACCAAGCAGCCCAGATGTGGCTGGAGTAGGAGCAGCAACTGATCTAGTAGGCCTAAGTGCTGGACCAGTTATGCAGGAGGGACCTTGGTCAGCAAGTCCTCATGTTTGTGTAGAAATGCTGGTGAGGGTAGCTCAGGTAGGGGCTGGCTTGGCTTTGTGCAGAATGACCCTGCCCACCAGTCTATGCAGAGCAAATACTCCATGCCTAGCCATGTGCTGGGCCCTAGTGAACCCCCAAAGGGGGTTGAGTGTGGAGTTAGGGGACAGTAGGAAGCAAGTACCTCAGGGTGGGACAGAACAAGGCTGGCGGGAAAAGTCCACTCCTTTCCAGATACACAATGCTTGGACCACCTGCTCAGGAATTGACTGGACATGGCCCCAGCATGGTGGGCAAGAGAGGTCTGACTGCCCTTGATGTCCAGTACTGTCTCACTCCAAAGGTACAATGAGCACAAAACAAGTAGCACCAATTCCAGATGGACCACATCTCTGCCCACAGCCTGGCTCCTAGAGTGGAGGCAGAGGAGCAGTACACTTCTTGCTATATTCACAGGGATAGATTTTCCTGACAGGTGTCTTGCTTATCACCCCACCGCCCTGGGTTAATAAATCTTGGTATCTGCCTTACACAGTGTAGTGTGGGTGACCACCTGAGGTTGTTGGCTGGCAACATTAAAAGCTAAGGTTAACATCCATGGAGAATATTCCTTTCTGTCACTTCTAAATATGACTGGATCTACAAGGAAAAAGAAACCAGAATTCTCTACTTTAATGTTCACTCTAATACTTGACACATAAATCAGAAACGGCTAAACATTGTATATGCTCAGTTTAGTTTTTTAAAAATTAAGATAGGAAAGCCAGGGAACTCGGGCTTCCTCCTTAGCATAACTCCTCAGCAAACCCGGGTTAAGTACCTCTCAGAGGGCCCGGGGCCGGTGTCCAACCACCGGGTCGCAGGGGTGGGTGACATGTGGAGCCGACCTAGGCCAGGACGTCGGGCTGGGATGATGCGTGGGCTCCTCCCTCGCTTCCTCGCGAGGTGCGGGGACATCCCCTTGGCTCCGCCGTACCGCTGCGCTTCCCAGTTGCAAGGCGCCCCAGTAAAGTTCCTTGACCTCGCTGCCCCTGAGGCACTTGTAAAGTTTTCGGGGCCGCCCGACCTAGGCTTTGAGGCGCCATCGGCGGCGGGGACCCCAAGGCTGAGGAGCTGGGGCGCGCTCAGCGGGATGCTCTAGACGGGTCGAGCAGGGCCCGAAGGCCGCGCACAAAGGGATTCCGGGGTCTCGAACGGCGCGGCGTCGTCAAAGGGCGGGTGGGGCAAAGGTGGCCTCCGACCCCAGCCCGGACCTTGCCTCCGGGCCCAGGACGCCGTCCCTACTTCTGTCTGGATGTCAACTCACGCACCCGCCCTCACACCCTGCCCAGATTCCGGAGCTGACGTCGGTCTCCAACCCTCTCCAACCCCCAACCCCAGACCCAGGAGCCGGACCCCGCCCACCAGTGGAAGATTACCTGGAGTGCAGCGTGGGCGGCAACCGCAGCGCGGCCCCAGCCCTCAGGCGGGCGTCCCCGGGTCCCTCGTTGTCCGGGGAGCGACGTCCCTAAGGCACGGCGCGGGTCGCGGACCGCGGAGCTGCAACTAGAGCCGGTGCGGGGGCGGGGGCGGACCACTCCCTCCCGGTCTCGGAGCGCAGCCAGGGGGCCAGCCTTCCCCGCCCCTCGTGCGGCCCGTGCGCAAAGCCGGTCCGGCCGGCGATGCGACCCTCTGCCCCCTCCCTTTCAACCGTGAATTTTTCCATTGGTTGAGGGACCAGGCGCGGCCCGGCAACCGGCGCCGATTGGACAGATGTGCAAAGACGATGGTTTGCCATTGGGCCTATGAAATGTCAGTCCCGGTCGACGACCGGCCCCCTCGCAGAGGGGCAGAGGCCTGAGCCCCTGCCTGGAACGCTGCGGCGGCTGTCTGGGGTTCAGGGCTGCCCCCTCCCGGCCGCCTTTAGAGAACGTACCGGACCTTTGGGCCCCGAGAGGGGACCCGCATGGCCGGCGACCCTTCCCCGGACTCCGGCAGGTATCCTCCAGCACCTGCTGTTCGCTGGACGCTGCGCGTCTATCTCTTCTATCTGCATCTAATTATAGTCACACAACCCAGGATTGAGAGTTTAGATGCGACCCATTTTACAGACGGGAAACTGAGGCTTAGGTTCTCACTTGCTTTAGGTGATCGGGATTGGAGCCCAGTCTTCCGACTCTGGAGTCTGGGTTGCTCTCCCACTCTCAAGGCACCAGGGGTGAGGTTGCGTCCTTGGCTTAGTGAGGCCCTGTTAAGAGTCGGGGCTGCAGTGTTTCTGAGAGCAAGAACAAAATCCTCGGTAAACCTAGAATTTACTTCTCCCAGGAGGTCTGGATCTACAGCTCTCTTAGGATTTCATCCATGGGGTTGTTCTTTCTCACCTCTTCGTGGCATCCATACAGCCCTCAGTCGAGAGGTGTTGTGTTTATCTTTCCCCACCCCATCTTATGCTCTGTTTCCTAGAGTCGCAGAGGAACACTGTGGAGCTTTGGACAGTCTTGATATTAGCACAAATCGCATTTTCCAGCCAGCTAGAGCCCTAAGCTCTCCGCTGCAACAATACAGGACTGTCACATGGAACCATAACCCTTGGCCAGCTCCACTGAGCCTTATAGTGTGAAGGGAAACAGCAGGGTTGCTATCTAGTTGGGACTCCTTCATGAGCAGAGGGCAGTGAACCTGGCTCATGATTGGTTCTGAGCCTTTCCTGCCCTGGATGCACTTGGAGGTGACCAGTTCCTGGGCTTTCTGCAGTCCCCAAAGCCTCAAGGGGAGCCAAACTGCCCATGACAGTGCTAATGGGGGTGGGGGTTGGCTAGGGATGAACAGATCAGATACTCATGGCTCATCCACCTCTGTGGGGAGTGCAGTGTGTTCATCCAGTAGTTGCTTGGTCAGAATAAAGAAAGTGAGATGGGCTGACAAGAACTCACTGCTAGTACCACCATTGGGTCCACCTGGCAGTCAGAGCAAATTAGTCCCAGCAGCATTTCAGAGCCAAGTAGCCATTACCAATCCTTTAGAGTTGGCACTTGAGGTGAAAGCTATTTGCCATCCTAGCATAGGGATATTTGCAGCTTTGGAAGGGCAGCATGAAGAACCCGTCCCTAAAACACAGGGACCCCCACCAATAAAGCAGCTCTTGTTCTGTGGGATAGCACCATGGGTGACAGTCTGTCTCAGATGCTGTGTGGCTGGGGAGTTCTGTTTCTTTCATTTAGGACCAGATTTAATTAATTCTGAGTGTTCCCAACCATCTCTCCAAGGGCATAAGATTTTGGTTCTCCTGGAGCCTTTCTTATAATGACCTCATGGTCTGGCAGTAGCCTTCTTCCCCACATTTGTTTATGGTAGCAAGAGGGGCTAGACAGATCTGCTTAAAGAGGACAAAAGGGAGACTTATGCAGTAAAATAAGCCCAATGAGGATTACCTTCTCTCTGCCTTGCCCCTACCCCTACCGCCATAGGGTTCTAGAGATCTCTCTGGCCAGGAACCATATCTATAGCTGTATAGAGAGGATCAGGATGAGCATTGTCAAAAAGGAGTCAGGGCAAATATCCAGTAGTCTTCCCATCAGGATGCAGGTAGGGGTCAGGAACAAATTGAAAATATCATAGGTGCCAGTGGTTCAGTGTCTTCCTTCTTACCGTCTCTGCCTGCCTGCTGGCTGGCTCCATAGGGACTAGGGAAAGCCACAGGAAGAAAAGGTTGCTGAATGTCAGGAAAAAACTTCCTAACAGTTGCAGGTGTTTAGGAAGTACAAAAGGGTGGCCCAAGAGACAGTAACCTCCTTGTCTGAGGAAATGGGATAGCAGTAATTCCCTTGCAGCCTGAGATGCCAGGGTTCAGGTGACCATGTTAAGCCCATGTCATCTGCTCTTGCATACTCCCTAGCACCGTTATGTTGTCCGGACTCAAATAAGTCCATGATGGGAGAGTGGCCCAGGTCCATATGAGGTGCAGGATAGAATAGGATTCGAATCACTATCTGACATGTTTCTGCATCCCTCTTTGTGGGTGACGAGAAAGCTTAGACAATCCATGTGCTGCTCTGAGGTGCCTGTCCTGGTATTTTGGGGGCAGACTACTCTGAATCTGCTGCCTTATACCTCAGGGCATGGTCACTTATCCCCAAGCTCTAAGATCTGCTTGTTCAACAGCACTACCTCTGGCTCTATGGGCGGTATGGTTTGTCTGCTCAGAGGGGAATGCTGGCACCAGCCCAGCACGTTTGTGCTGTGAGCTGCAGGAGGAATAACCACATGTCTGGGTCTACCACCTGCTGGCCAGGAGTCCCTGGGCATCTGGAGTCCTTGGTTTTGTTGTCTGTAAAAGGGTTCTCTGTTGGGTTTCAGATGAGATAGCGAAAGGAAAAGTTGGGCACAATGGTCTTGTTGGCAGCTCTGGATTAGACTCTTGCTTTCACCCCTCTGGGCTCCAGTTTTCTGCTGGGAATTAGCCCTTCTGGTCAGGATCAGGGCACCCAAGTCTTTAATCCAGGTCTGTGGAGCGAATCCAGCCAGTGCCACTTACCACCTTTTTTGATTTCAACTGAATGGAGTAACTGCTGAGTCTCAGTGTTCTTATCTGTAAGATAGAATGAATGAGAACTGTGAACTGTGACACTAGGTTTAGAGCTCTTAGCACATTAGCATTAACCTTAATGTAGTTGTCATCCTTGTCATGGTATATTTCAGTTGAGGCTGGCCCTGGGCCTCTGGCCCTTTGACACTTCACTTTTGCAATGCTCAGGCCCCAGGAACAGCCCAGTGGCCAATGGGGAGAGGGAGCCCTAGCAAATGAATGCTTCTGTCCTCCTAGGACAGCCCTACCTACTCATCAGTGCAGCTGGAGCCCTTCATCCTGGGGGCCTAGGCCCACGAAAAAACAGTTCCCTTGTGAGATCAAAGGCTACAGTGGCCCAGGTAGGGCTGAACTGCCTGGTCCGGGAACTGGGGTGCCTCCTGATACAGGGATATAAGGGGTCAGGGCTGCAGTGTGGATGGGGCCAGAGGCCAGAAGCCGACTGGACTGGGGGGAGGTGATAAATCGAAGGAAGGGAGGTCCAGGATGGAGGATGGCTAGGGCCAGATTGGAGTTGGTTGGATAGAAAGGGGGAAACCAGAACTCAGCCTAAGGGAAGCGGGTCGGAGGTGCACATCCCTGTAGCCTTACAGGGAAAGAAGCAGAGTAGGTAGACGACAATGCTGTCCACGAGGGCACAGACTCAAGGACTGTTGCGATCTCCCCGGGATGACCCCGCGGGTTGGGGGAGCCGTGAAAACAGAAGACCGCGGGGTCACGAGACACCCAGAAGCCCGCGCAGCTCAGACTTGGCGCAGCCCCGGGGGCGGGGAGCCAGGAGGCCTGCAGCCCCAGAGTGACAGCACGCTCAGCCAACAGGCTCCCGAATCGCTAGCGCGGCCTCGCCCCTCCCCGCCCAGTCCAATGGCGAGCACATTGGAAGCAGGCGGGGCGGGGCGGGCCTGGGCTGCCGGCTGCGGCGAGCGGGCGCGGCACCCGGAAGTCGGCTGCGGCGGAGGCGGTGAGTGCGCGGCTAGCTACCCGGACTGTCGGACTCTGCTCCTGGCCGGGCCAGCCCGGCTCTGGGGCGCCGGGCCGGAAACGCAGGCGGGGCCGGCTTACTCGCAGGCGGTGCGGGGCGGGCTGGGCCCTACCTCTTCGCCCTGCCTCAGTTTCCCTTTTCCAAGGCGTAGAATGAAAATCAGACGGCCGGGCTTGGAACTCTGACCTGTCCGCAGAGACCAACTGATCCTAGCCAACGAAGGCACCCCGGGGTGCTGGAAAGCGTTTCCGTGATCACTGCCAGGACTGGGTGGGAGGATCAGACCTTCTGCAGAGAGGTTGACAGGTGAGGCAGAGACGTGTTAACCACTGCAAGGTTGTAGGCTGTACTCTTGGCCAGCATGAGGGACTACTCTGGAGCCCTTTCCCCTTCCCCCTCCCTGCAGTCCGCTGTGGGCCGCAGGGTAACAGCTGAAGTCCTTCTGAGTAGGCAGCAAGTGCTGGGTCATCCCTGTGGCTGAATGCGTCTTCCTGGAGAGGCTGGCATAGTCAGAGACCCCTACCTTCACCCAGAAGGCATCTGGGCTGTGGGCTAGGCAGGGCTGCACTTGGGCCAGGCATGGCCCCACTCCTGGCCTCTTTAGGAGCTTGGGCTTTGCATATTTTCCTCTTGGGCAGGGGCCACAGAGGGCCCTTTGCTGAGACTCTCTTCTCTGCCCTGGTACTTCTCCTGTGCTTCCTGGCTTCCTGCTGGGGCACAGCTTTAGAATGAACCTTCTGCCCTTGGACAAGTCCCTGAGCCTCAGGTCCTTTTCCTTTGGTGAAATGTTACTTGCTTGGCATGATCCAGGCCTGTCAAGCCACTCTAGACCTACTGACTGTTGCTTTGTCACCATTCTGGGCTCAGAGCCGTCTTCCATGAAGTAGATGTGATAGCATTTATAAAGACTGGCCCTTTAAAAGATGTCCTCACACTTGTTCATTAACCCCTGCACATCCTTTTGGGGACAAGTACTCATTGGCCCAACTCTGTTAATTGTGAAGAAAATTCAGACTAAGGGGGCAGGTAGTGGTCCCAAGGTTGTTCAGGGCCAAGGCTAGAACACAGTGCTTCTGCTTCTCCTGGTCCTTTCCCCAGAGCCTTTTGCATCAGGCGACCTGTTGAGTGGGTTGGGGACAGCTGGGGAGGGTGATTGTGTTGGTGGGTGGACACAGCAGAGCTCTGCCCCTTCTCTAGGATCCCACTGCCCCCTATGGGGTTGGGGGGCTAGATGGGTTGCCATGGGCTCCCACTTTCACAAGACCCTACAGCATGGGGCCCCACATTTTCATGTCACTTACATATTCTTGGACTGCAGGTGCCTCAGCCCAGGCCCCTTTCTGCTCTAATGTGTGGTGACAATCAGGTGACACCTGATCAAAAGTGACCAACCATCTGCTCTGCCTGAGCTGCCTAGCCTTTGTGCTACATTGGTGTCTTCACTTGTGCAGTTGTTCTGATCACATTTCATGATGAATGCAGTCACATCCAGTGTCACAGTTCCTATGCCTGTCTTCTTGTGCCAGGTGGTGAGCTCTGCAGGAACCCTGGTGCCTGCCTATGGGTGCTACGTCTGAGAATGTCCATGGGGAGAGTGGGTGTGGAAAGAAATAGTGCAAGACAGGAAGGTCTGGAGGGCTTCTGGAAGCAGGGCCACCCTTGTCATTGACACTCCAGGTGGGTGAGAATTGGGGCCCATCTTTTGGTAACATGTCAGTGCATGATGGCACCATGGCAGGGTTTGACAATAGGCTCCATGAAACCAGGGTTACCCCCAAACAATTGAGCTGCCCTTTAAGGTTATCAGAGCAGCTACTGCCATGTTCTCAGTTCCTTTTTAGATTGCAAAACTAACATTTGCACACTTAAAAATAAAAAGGGCTGGCCTTCATCTCCCACCAACTGCACCCTTGATACAGCTGCTGACATTTGAAGGTGCATTGTCAAGGTCTTTAGTAACATGCTAACCTTCAAATGCTTGTTTTCATCCTCTTTGGAGGGGTGATTAGGAATGCCCTCTTTTGTTTTTATATACCTTGCAGGTTGCAGGGGCCACCTTGAGACTGGGCTTATCCCTCTTTGGTGGGAAAGTTGGGTGTTCCTACCAGGAGCGGCCTGAGATGCAGGGTCTGCCCTGTGCCCAGAGCTTTTCATCATGTGTAAGATGTGCCTCGTTTGTGCTGCTCCTTTGATCTGCTGATCCTTTGATCTGACAGCAACACCCTGGTGTGATGCTGAAATAATGTCCTCAAAACATTGGAAAGATCTGAGGAGAGAGTATCGCTGTAGAAAATTTGTCATGGTAAAATGCCATGTAATAGCTAAAATGAGAAAGCGTAGCTTGCTGAGCTCTTGCTGCTGAGATGGGAGGAGACTAGCGTTTTGTGGTGGATTGGCTGCTCCAAGGATTTCCACACATGTCAGGGCTTTCTCAGCCAAGGCCCTGGGAACAGCAACATTGTGTTCCCTTGTGTGTTTACCTCCTCTGCTGGCAGCCACAGCTGACAACCGCCAAGGTAGGGTGGATGCTTGGCTGCTTAGCTCAGCTGCATTGTTCTTAGGAAGCCTAAGGAGCTCTGTCTTCTGTTCTGCTTCTCCAGACAGGGTGGCTACTCTTAAAAATGTTTCTTCCGCATGTGCAAAATACTTGGTATAATTAGGTGGATCAGCTGACTATAGGGCTCACCTAACCTCTGTCTAGAGCTTTCGAATGTGCAGCCCTGGTAGACCATCTTGGTGAGAACTAGGAGCACCACTTTTCCTCATACCTAAGGGTCCAGTGTCTCATAAAAATACCTCCTTGTTGGTGTGGTCGTGCACACCTGTAATCCCAGCACTTAGGAGGCTAAAGCAGGAGGATCACCAAAAGTTTGAGGCCAGCCTGGGATGCATATTTGAGTTCAAGGTTAGCCTGAACTACATAGGAGACCTTGTCTCAAAAAACAAAAACAAACAAACAAAAATCTCCTTTCCCTTTGTGTGTTTGTGTTCCTGTATCTGTCTCATCACTGCCTTCTACCCATCTACCCGGTTTGCCTATTCAGTTGACAGATACCCCCAGGGTCACACAGTATGCATTGCTCTCTGCTCAGGTAGCCAATGTTGTTAGACAGCTAGGCTGTGCTCTGCCCTATCCTGAGGTGTTGTGAACCTCAGCTGATCTGTTTTTATCTAGTCTCCTGTGCTCAGGCAACATTCCTCAGGTTCCCTGCCTTCCCATCCTTCACCCTCAACCCTAATCTGTGCCATCAGGGGAAAAAGGTAAGGTGTGCATACTATATGTGCTGCCGAAGCAAGCACAGGGTGTGCATACTTTTGATGGGAGCTTTTGGAAATGAACAGTCACACTTTTCCCTGCCATGAGAATATGCGGATTTTTATGTCTGCATATGAGACTATGCATGACAGTATGCAGATGTTTAGTGTCTAGTTCAGTGTATTGTACAAAGGGAGCCCAGCCATGTAGCCACTGCTCACATGCATGGAAACCATCGCCAGCATCCAGATGTCTCACTTGAGTCCCCTGGTTGTTCCTGAAACCAGTTGGCTCTGCCCTGACTTCTGACCCCGTGGACAGGTCTTGCTTGTTTCTGGTCTCTGTGCAAAAGACCAAGTAGTGTACTATCCCCAGTGTAACCTCTTGGTACCTTGGGAATCTGGGGCTTATTGCTGTGTGCCACTGTATGGTGCTCTAGGGCAGAGACATCACCATGGATGGACACAGGTTGACTTCAAGTTCTAGGCTATGGATTTCCTTGCTGTGTCACGTCATGGACTTGGGCACTGGCATAGTGCCTGGCATGGCTAGCAAGGGTAGGGCATGGCATGATCTAACCAGGGTTTTGGGAAGTTCTGTTGTACTTGTCTGGTTTGTTTTTGTTTTGTTATAGTAGTGAAATACTTCAGGCAGACTATTACAGAAAACATAAAACTCATAGTTTTGGAGGTTGAAAGCCCAAACAGGATGGCTCAGTCTCTGGCAAGGGTCTCCTTGGCAGGGTCACCTTGTGGCAGATGGCAATGCTGGGACAATGTGTGCCAGCAAGGATCATTTAGCCAAACAGGAAACCAGAGATTGAATTTGTTTTTATAACAATTTGTTCTTTCAAGAGCTCAGGGGTCCCATAAGAGTTATCTTAGTCCTTTCCAAGATCAGTGTGCTTAATGACCTAAGGAACTCCCAAAGGTTTCACTGCCTCTCAGCAGTACCATACTGGGCACTAAGCGCTAGCACATGAATCCTGAGTTTGCAGGCATATTCAAACCATATCTAAACTTCAGCATCTATAACTACCCAAGACAGACACATGCTTTCCAGTGTGGGCACTGGGGCTAAAGTAACTATGGCATCTGAGGCATGGTAACAGATGCATGATCCCAAGGGACAGGGAGTCCAGGATGTGACCAACGTAGAGAATACTGAGGAGGATTGACTGTGCATTTGGGGAGCACAGATGGGTTCCTGCTTTGCAACATCCACATAGGCAAACAGAGCTAAGTCAAGACAAGATAAGGCAAGACAAGAGCTAAGCCCACACACAGCTGTCCAACCGGGAGGGCCTTTGTGATGGGGAGAGCCTTTAGCAAGATAGTATACAAATGCTGTACAGTAAAGATGGGAAACTTTTCTATAAGACAAGACTATTTTGCTAGGCAACTCCATATGCAAAGCTGGAAGGCTGAGGGTGTACCGCCCAGGAATTAGTACTCAAATTTGTGTTCCGTGGGCTAGGACAGCAAGTCACCAACAGTCGTAAGATGCTTAGCCACCAAGGGATGGAAACAAAACCATGATGAGAACATTTCCTGCCACCACGTGCCTGGTGTCAGGTTCTGGCACTGAATCTTTGGAGAAACTTGGCCGGGTCTGCTTATGGAATACAACCGACATGTGGATACGTGTGTACACACGCACACTTTCTAAGAAAGCTGGCTAACACACAGAGCCCTCCAGATGGGGCTTCTGCCTGGTGTGTCTCATTGGAGACGTTCCCAGCAAGAGCATGCTCTTGAGTGCATGGGCAGTGGCAGCAATGATCCTAGACCCTGTTGACTCTAGGAGCTACTGGTTATGGCAGCAGGAGACATGGACCCTTGAGCTGTGACATTGAGAAGCTGAATGGAATGGATGAACAGGCAGTGGGTGTGAGGGGACGGGGTAGGGACAGGCTCTTGGTACAAATGCTGAAGGAGGTAGCATTGGTCAGTGTGAGGTGGGTGCCTGGCATGGTCCATGTATGATGCCTGTTGACTTCTGAGAGGCAGTGAGCTTTGGCGCACACAAGATGGCACTGAGATGCATTCATGCCCTGCAGCACTGAGGCTTGTCCTGTGTTCTCCCAAGTACTGGTATCATCTCATCTGGCAGTGATAGCAAAGCCCAGTCGACATGGCCCTCGGGCCCCACTTGCCTCCTCTCCCAATGGGGCTCTGTCAGGTTGGTGGCCTGTGGCCCTATCCTTCTGGGTGCAGAGTCTCATTTCCACCTGGCTCTCACCAGTGACTGCCACCATCACCATGTGCCCTTGGCATCTGTTAAGTCTTTGGCCAAGCCTGTCTGTCTGTCTGATTGTGTGTGTGGTTGCTTTATCATGCTCTTTTTTTTTCTTTTTTTCCTTTTAAGAGTAGGAAGGGACCGGGGATTTAGCTCAGTGGTTCTGCCACCAGCCTCACAAGTGCAAGGACCAGAGTTTGATCCCTGGTACCAAAAAAAAAAAAAGAGTAGGAAGAATTTACTGAGAGAAAGATAGCTTCTGTCTAGAAGAGACAGAAGTGGGGGCTGGAAAGTGGATTGCCCTATCATGCTTCTTTTAGGTGATGCATGGAATGAGATTTAGGGTTTAGCTCACCTGAGAGTCTCATCCTTCTTAGAGAGGGACTTTGACCTCTTACCACTTGGCTCTTAGGATTGAAAATCTGGTTCCTCTGAGAGTTTAGGAGAGAAGGAAGAAGCCCAAGGCTGGAGAAGGGTCCCAAAGGAGGTTAGATTTTGGAGGCAGAAGGTTGGCAGAGGATGGTATGTGCCAGGAGAATTCTTGAAAGCATTATCAGTAGATGGGCCTGGAGTGCCTAGAAAACTTACGTCTTTCCCAGCCAGCACTCTGCACTAAGAGTAACTTTCTTCCTGTTTTGCAGAATTACTGGGCTGTTAGGCCAGAGAAACTTGAGCTGAGGCTCTAGGAAGGCTTCCACTAGTGTTCTTATTCACAGTCTTTTTTTTGTTTTTGGTACTGGGGATTGAACTCGGAATCTTCCTCTTGTGAGGCAGGCGCCGGAACCACTGAGCTAAATCCCCAGCCTCTCCGCTAGTGTTCTTAGAGGAAAGGAAGCTCTCAATTTTGGTGTGAAGAGGTCTATTTCTTATGTTCACATTTTGCAAATCCTTTTGGCTGGAATCCAAATGTACCAAAGGACTCCAGTTGTGTGCAGGAGGCACTGGAGTGTTTCCTTCCTGGGAGAGACCTGTGTCATGTCCCTGCAAGAGGCTAGCAGCATTCAGTATGGGTGACCATACCTTTCACTTCCTTGGCAAGGTCAGTGGAGGCAGTGCAAGGTACCAAGTGAGATTATTCCTGGGTTTCCTTGAACATAGGCCACTCATGTCCTCTGGGCATTTGTCCTAGTGGGGTTCTGGGCCCTGCAGGGTGGCAGGGTGACGGGCCCAGTGCCTATGGCTA